GAGAACCGGGTTTGATTCCCCACTCCTCCTCCTGCACCTGGCTGGATGACCTTGGGCAAGCCATTGTTCTGATAAGAGCTGTCCTTGAAAAAGAGCAGTTCCTGTCAGAGCTCTCTCAGCCTCGGCCACCTCACCGGGTGTCTGTTGTGGGGAGGGGAAGGGCAGGGATCATTTCCTGCAGGAGCGCACATAGTGGCACCTTTAAGACCAAGTTTTATTCAGGTACAAGCTCTCCCTCCTCTGCGAGACAGATCTGTGTGTCCCCCCCCGCCCAATAGCTAGCAATCCAAAACAGTCCGGTGGAGCCTGAGAGGTTGGTGTTGCCTTCTGACACACTTCCGGTGATGTCAGGGGATGTGGCATATGCAAATAAGTTCCAGTGGCACCTTTAAGACCAAGTTTTATTCAGGTACAAGCTCTCCCTCCTCTGCGAGACAGATCTGTGTGTCCCCCCCCGCCCAATAGCTAGCAATCCAAAACAGTCCGGTGGAGCCTGAGAGGTTGGTGTTGCCTTCTGACACACTTCCGGTGATGTCAGGGGATGTGGCATATGCAAATAAGTTATGCTAATGAGTTATGCTAATGAACTCCTGCACCTCTTTTTCTACGAAATGACCCCTGGGGAAGGGAAAGGAAAGGAGTTTGTAAGCCTCTCTAAGACACCTTTGGGTAGTGAAGGGCGGTGTATAAATCCATCCTCCTCCTCCTCCTCCTCCTCTTCTTCTTCTTCTTCTGTAGATCAGTCGTAATTCCACAAGAATTCCCAGCCCCACCTTGAAGTTGATAACCCTATACACTATTAGAGATCCTGGGACTGATTGGGTGTGGGGGAGGGGGAGGGGGCAGTGAGGGCACTTCAGGGTGAAAGCCCAGAAGTGCCGACCCCATGTTGAGGAATGCTCTAGGAATTCCACGCATCTCTATGCTCTCTACCATAGTCACTCAGCATGGTGATGTCACTGGACTGGGTGATGTTGTTTCCCTCCAATTCCCTCCCGCCACTTCATTAAGCAAGCGTGGGGGGATGGAGGGAGGGCAGGAGAGTTTTCCCACCTAGGCCACACAAATGGGATGGCCATGCACTACTGATGCCTGCGTTCAAAGCGACGCGTTTGTGATTACACATATTCACGGGTGCCACATGGTACAATTCCCAGCAACGCATGGAAGCACCGCCGTTAGTACTTCTGTTCAATGTGACGTTGCCAGGCTCTGCCTACGAGTGTAAGGCTTTGGGATACTGGACACCTGGCAATGCTCGACAAAAAGCCTTGTACCTAAACTGTCACACACACCAGCGCTCTGAGTGCAGTCTTTGCTACTCCCGCCAGGCTTTAAGATTGTCCTGGATATCGTCATCCGTCTGCTGCTGCCCTGACCTGGATAACCCAGGCTAGCCCCATCCCATCAGACCTTAGAAACTAAGCAAGGTCCGCCCTGGCGAGTATTGGAAGGGCGACCTCCAAGGAATACCAGGGCTGCAACGTAGAGGCAGGCAACTGCAAACCACCTCTGAAACATTTCTTGCCTTAAAAAAAACGTAGTCTAGGTGGTGAGCTTGAAAAAGTGGTGCATGCCACTAAGAAAAGAGCTAGAACTTCTGACTGCCAGACAATCTTAGGCTCTCCTGGCTATTCTACACACAATGCCATACAGTAATTATTATTTAATTTGTCTGCTACTGAGGCTACCTCCTTCTCCAGACACAGACAGAAGCCCCTTGGGGACAAAAAAAGAGAGAGGAGATAACCTTCCTCTGAAATACACAGCACGTTAGGGTGGTTTTGGTGAGCCTCCCCTTTGCATTCAGTTCAATGGCACGTACACCTGGCCACTTTATTTATTTATTTACTGCATTTATACCACACCTCTATAGGACGCCAAATGGCTTAACATCTTTCTCCTCTCCTCCGTTTTATCCTCACGACTACCCTGTGAGGTAGGCTGGGCTGAGAGCGTGTGACTGGCCCAAGATCACCCAGCAAGATTCTGTAGCAGAGTGGGAATTTGAATCTGGGTCTCCCAGATCTTAGTGTGATGCTCTGACCACTACACCACACTGGCTGTCTACAAATTACCAAGCTGGACTCACTCCAGAGAGGAGAAACCTGACCCGGGTCCTCTTTTTCTGTTCCAGAGAACCCCACTGCTTTGGGAAGTCCCCATGAAGATCTCCTTAGAGAGCTTCCAGGATCCATGATATCCAACAGAAGCCAACTTCCTATTGGTTTTGGCAAAGGCCATCCCGAAAAACCCACACTTGCACTCGAGAACAACCCACAACCTCTCCTGCTTTCAGCACGGTCTCTCTCCTCACATTAGCACCAGGGAAGAGCTGGTCATCTCATCCGCCACTTGGCTCCGGTCTTCTGCTGCTGGCCAGACTTGCCCGGGCTTCTTTTGTGTTGCTTCAGTTGACCCTCCAAGGAACTGACCTGGTAGGGAAGGCAAGGAAGGTCCCATAAATACAAGCACTGCATTGTGGGACTGAACAGACCACACTGGTCTCTTTAGTCGTTAATGATGTGGGCAAACAGTGTTTCAGGAGCAATGGAAACCCAACATCGGGAGTCCTATTTGCTTAAATGCTTAAATAAACAGATGAAGCTACGTACTGAATCAGACCCTTGGTCCATCAAGACCGTATTGCCTACTTAGACTGGCAGTGGCTCTGCCCAGGTGGATGCACTGTCTTGAGCTTCGTTATCAGTTGCAATCCAGCAGTCTCTCTTTCTAATCTCCCTCTGAAATTCCTTTGTAAGATAATTGCTACCTTTAGGTCAGGTTAAGTCCAGGACATTCAGTCGCTGACCTAAAAGTAGCAGTTCTCTTACAGAGGAATTTCAAAGGGAGATTAGAAAGCGAGACTGCTGAATTGCAACTGAGAAGGAAGCTCAAAGTGCATCCTCCTGGACTAAATCGAGACCTAGGTTTCTTGTCACCAATGCTGATTTCTCCATGCCTACTACCCCTCTGCATATCACACTTGATCCGATCACGCCTGCTATTGTCATTCACCTGCTATTGCTGTTTGCCTGCTACAGTCATTTGGCATCTGAAACCACTTCACTTTTCCAGTATACAGGACCGATGGACTCACGTTCTAGATGTATCTGAAGAAGTGAGCAGTGACTCACAACAGCTCACCCCCTCCCACAAATTTTGTTAGTCTTTAAGGTGCTACAGCTAGGGATGTTAAAAAAAAAATCGGCCCATTCGGATTTGGCTGAATTGGGCAGAATCAATTTCGGCCAGCATAAAGACTTCTGCATGTCAATTTCGGCAGTAGGAGCATTCAGGAGTCTTTGGCCAGCCAAATGTATCCTATAGGCCATTGAAGTCAATAGCGAAAACATAGGGTATATTCTGGGGGCTGGAGGGGAGGGAGTTTGATGGAAAAGCGCCAAACTTGCAGGTTAGCTGCTGGAGCCTCTCCCCAAGATACCAACCAAGTTTCAGGAACATTGAACGAGGGGGTCCAATTCTGCGGGTCCTCTAACAGGCTGCCCCTATCCCCTCCATTGTTCTCTATGGAGGGAAAAAAGTTACGTTTGGGGGCTTGACCCAAGTACTGGAACAAATGTCACATCGACCTGCAATCAGATACAGCTGTACCAGCAAACAAAACGGGAGAGGGGGCCAAGTACTTGGCCAGGCACATTAATCCTAAACCACACCCCTGGGGCACTGCCCCCCTCTCAGGGATTCGCCTTAGACTCAGCCGCTGGGTATGCAGGTCTAGGAGGCGACAGTGGGTATCAGCCATGCCCATTGCTTTCTCACGCACCAACGCCGATCTCAGCAGTGCTGCCTCGGTTGCGAGCCGCAGTTGCTCAGGCAGAGATCCAGCCCTGAGCGTCAATTAAAATAATCTGGGGTGTTGCTGTTGGCCCACGCGCTTGGGATTGCTTATCTTTTGTCTAGGAGGTACGTCAGAAAAGGCATGATTCAGAGATAGTGGCGTTGGTCTTGGAGGAAACAAAAGATGTCTCGGGAAACTCGCAAGGAGTTTACCACTGGTGGAAAAGAATGCCCAGGTGGAATGTTCGGATGAACACGCATTAAACTGCCTTCTACTGAATCAGACGCCTTGGTCCGTCGAGGTCAGTATTGTCCACTCAGACTGGCAGCGGCTCTCCAGGGTCTCTCAGGCTGTCTTTCACGTCGTCTACTAACCTGGTCCTTTTTAGCTGGAGATGCCGGGGATTGAACCTGGGGCCTTCTGCATGCCAAGCAGAGGCTCTTCTCCTGAGCCCACCGCCCCTCCTGATGTTCCTTGTGGGAAAGTGCTGTAGCTCAGGGGAAGAGCATGCTTTGCCGCTAGAAGGTTCCAGGTTCAGTCTTTGGCATCTCTGGTTCAAAACATGATTGGTAGCGAGTGCTGGGAAAGACCACAAGCTCCAGAGAGGCGCTGCTAGTCAAAGGAAGCAATGGCGAACTGTAGGGGCCAAGACTCTGAAGGTATGACTCAGAATGGCCTGGGCTAGTCTGACCTGGTCCAATCTTGGCAGCTAAGCAGGGTCGGCCCTGGTTAGTACTTGGATGGGAGACCACCAAGGAAGTCCGGGGTTGCTACATGGGGGCAGGCAATGGGAGACCACCTCTGAATGTCTCTTGCCTTGAAAACCATCAGTCAGCTGCGACTTGATGGAACTTTCCACTATATTAATGAGAAGACATGGCAGAGAAGGAGAAGGAGGACGAGGAGGAGGACGAGGAGGAGATTGGATTCATGCCCCGTCCTTCACTCGGAGTCTCAGAGCGGCTGACAATCTCCTTTCCCTTCCCCTCCCCACAACAGACACCCTGTGAGGTAGGCAGGGCTGAGAGAGCTCTGAGAGAAACTGCTCTTGAGAGAACAACTCTGACAGAACTGTGGCTTGCCCAAGGTCATCCAGCAGGTGCAAATGGAGGAGTGGGGAATCAAACCCGGTTCTCCCAGATTAGGGTCCGCACACTGAACCACTACACCGAACTGGCTGGTGCCAGCCAGTCTGAGAGAGCTGTTTCCCCCTTAAAAATTTCACTGGAAAGAAAGAAAGAAAGAAAGAAGGAAGGAAGGAAGGAAGGAAGGAAGGAAGGAAGGAAGGAAGGAAGGAAGGAAGGAAGGAAGGAAAAATTGTTCTTTCCCCCAGCACTTGCTTTGCATGGTACTCCAAAAGGGAAAACAGTCCTCAGGTTATTTTGGATCAGGGGCTGTCATTACCAGCAAGTCCAGTTTCTGCTGACCCACGGCACTCCATTCTGTTTCTAGAGGTCCCGCCCCCCCCCCCCAGGTGTACTCTACCTGCTTCCGAAGAGCGGAAACCATTTGTTCAAGTTCGTTTACTAAAGACTCGAGATCTTCCTCTTGTGCGTGATCTGGAGACGGCGCTTCCATTCTACAAGAAACGACATACCCAGGAGGTTTGAGGTGGGTGGCCCCATCGGCCTGCAGCAGGAGAGCAAGGCTCGGGTCCAGTAGGACGTTAAAGACCGACAAGTTCTCCAGGGTATCAGCTTTTGAAACCCAGAGCTCCGTTTGTTAGATAATGCCACCCAGTCCACTTTGGTATCAGATGGAGCTTTGACTCTCAAAAGCTTCTGCCTTGGGAATGTTGTTGGTGACAGAGTGGGGATTCGAACCTGGGTCTCGCAGATCCTAGTTCAGCAGCCAAGCCACTACACCCCTACACTACACTGGTTCTCTTTAATTGGGGGGGGCAGCCTCCACTCAGCTGCCCCCTCCCCTGTCCCCGTCCCTCCCAGGAGCTGCGATAGCGGATGCTCCTTAGCTAACTCAGAGAACTTCAGGAACAGAATGGAAAAGGCAACTGCTGAATTACACTTGGAACAAACACCCCTCCAGGACTTAACAGGGATATTGATTTCCTATCCCATCACATATGCTCAGGGGTCATTTCGTAGAAAAAGAGGTGCAGGAGCTCATTAGCATAACTCATTTGCACATGCCACACCCCCTGACGTCACCGGAAGTGTGTCAGAAGGCAACACCCACTGCTCAGGCTCCACTGGACTGTTTTGGATTGCTAGCTATTGGGGGTGGGGACGTGCAGATCTGTCCTCGCAGAGGAGGGAGAGCTTGTACCTGAATAAAACTTGGTCTTAAAGGTGCCACTGGACTGTTTTGGACCAGGGTGGGGGTGGGGGGAGGCTCTGAAACTTATCTGGCTGCTTCTTGCCCTGACTGAGGGCTGCTGGGAGTAGGGGGTGTGGCTTGTTGTATGTGCCCGCCCCCTGGGCTCTTTACTGCCGGAGCTCCGCTCTTGTGCGCTCCTACAGGAAATGACCCCTGCATATGCTAACTCATTCAGTCCTCACACACGTATTCTCACCAAGAAGGGCGATACTTCTATATTTTAATTTTTTTTGAAATAGTATATTATAACGGTGATCGTAATGCAATGCACTATTTTGTTGATCTCTGACATAACACTGCGCCCCAGGAAAAGGATCCTGTCAGTTAACTCAATGTTTTAGCGAAGCAAAACGTTACTTAAAAACAACAACTCAGTGTACTACTCTTAACAATTAGGAATATAATTGAATATGTAATGTAATTTGGAATGGTAGATTTAAGTGTAATTCTCTGTTCTGGGGACAAGGAAAATACTTTACACAGCCAAGATGCTGTAAAATTTGCCTCCGTGCTTGAAAGGAGATGGATGGGAGCCAGTGTTCCCTCTAAGCTGAGTTAGTGTGAGCCAGCTCACAGTTCTTTAAGCCTCTGGCTCACACATTTTTGTCTTCGCTCAGGAAGGATGGCTCCAGAGCAAACTAACTTATGCAGTAGCCAAATTGCTTGCTCACAACTTGAATGCCAGTAGCTCACAAAGTAGGATTTTTGCTCACAAGACCCCACAGCTTAGAAGGAGCATTGATGGGAGCTAATGACTGGATTCTCACATCAACCTCCAGTCCTGACATATTCATTACCTATGTTGTCCCCCCCCCGCAGTTGTACCAAAACAGATGATAACCAGAAACAGAGGTCATTTCGGGGGGGGATCGCGAGGGATCGCAGTTCCCCCGGGTGAGCTGCCGGCCTTGCAGGTCCACCGCTGGGCCCCTCATGGGGCTCGGCAGTGGAGCTGCAAGGCCGGCGGTGGCGGCCAGAACCATTGGGGGCGGGGTGTGTGGCCTTATGACACACTTCCGGTGATGTCAGGGGGTGTGGCCTTATCACACACTTCCAGTGATGTCAGGGGGTGTGACATATGCTAATGAGTTATGCTAATGAGTTCCCCTAGCTCTTTTTCTACGAAACGACCTTTGACCAGTAACCGAGCTTCTCATTCTCTTTATTTGTTAAAAAACATCTTCACTATTTTGCATGCTAATTTAACAAGCCACCCTCTGTATACATACAACTATGATCTGTAATTCCATTTCGTTGTCTGACGAATGCGCACACCTTGAATAAAACTTTGTTGGTCTTAATATGCTGTAACATTGTAGTAATGATTTTATATGGTTTTAACCTGTTTTTATGTGTTGTCTTACGCCTATTTGTGCGCCGCACTGAGCCCGCATTGTGGGGAGGGAGGGCTATAAATTGAATGTATAAATAAATATAAATAAATAAACAGTGCCACTGGACTCTAATTTTGTTCAACTCATTCCACAGACACCCTTGAAGACGTTGGGTACTTTCACGCATGCTAAACAAGGCAGTCGCAATTCACTTCACCAACCGTTTGCAAGTGGATCTTGCCGTTTCGCACGGTAAGATCCAGCTGCAAAGTGCGTCGAAAGTGCTTTACTCAGTGTGTGTGTGAAAGACCCTATTAGAACATCCGTCACAATAGCTTTTCCCTGGTGGCATTACGAACGGACTAGCAAGGTCCCAGATCCAGCACAAGTATCAGCCTACGTAGCAAAGGATATGCCCAACAGTTTGGCACAGAATGAGTGCAGATGGCAGGGGAGATGTCTAGATACAATAACAACAATCATAAAGAGGTTGGTAAGCACACCACACCTTGGGACTCCAGGCTTGGCGTTGGAAGGGTTTTCTTCCGGGTAGCTGAAGCCGGAAGCTCTCTTGCGTCGGAACTGTTGCGAAAGGGCCCTGAACTGGCCCCGCGTCCTACAGTCTGGGGGGGAGAAGAGAGAGGAGATATTTGAGTGCAGTGTATCTGAAAGGCTCGGAAATGTATCCTCCAATTCCAGTCTAGGGTTGCCAGCCTCCGGGTGTTCTTATGTCTGGGGCAAGTGATGCTCTGTCTTCTTGGTGCTTGGGGGTGGGCTACAGTGGGAGGGCTTCTGGAGTTTTTTTTGAAACGCATGTGCTCCTTTAAGCAGAGTGGGGTGCTGTAGTTGACTGATTCCCGCACTGAGCACGGGGGTTGGAGTAGGTGACCTCTAGGATCCCTCCTCACTCTGTGTCAAGAAACTGGCCTCCTTGAAGAGAGTTTTTCTGACTAAGGGTTAGTTTTCTTGACTACAGAAATCATCACCCCCACCTGCCACCTTGTTCTCAGAATTGTTGCTTAAGCCGGCAGAAGTGATTAACTTGTTAACTGAGAACTGTCATCTAAAGTGGCTGACAGCTCGCAATTTAGAGATCTATCCTGGGAACAGCTTTTTATTGGCTAAATGGTTTTTCTCTCTGCACTGAGAACTTCAGCTCCATCAGAAAAAAAAAAAACTGCCCCGCAAGCCACAAAATCCGGGTTATGGGCTTGCTAACAGTTCTCCAGGGTCTCAGGCAGATGTCTTTCCCATCACCTACCACAGAGGATGAGCCGTGGCTCAGTGGTAGAGCATCTGCTTGGTATGCAGAAGGCCCCAGGTTCAATCCCCAGTTAAAAAAGACCAGACTCAATACCCAATTAAAAAGACCGGGCAGAAGGTGGTGTGAAAAACCTCTCTGCCTGAGACACCGAAGAGTTGCTGCCAACCTGAGTATGAAAAGCAAAGGAAACAATCTGTGCTCAACAATAAACAATCACAAGTCTTAAACAATTGTATCTAAATGTAATTAGGATATAATAAAGACGACACAGTCCTATGTCATACAAATATAATGAAATTAAACACAACAAGGCGTGTTTTACATACCACAAGACACAGATATATTTATACTATCAGGACTCATTTCCTGCTGGAGCACCACAAGACACAGATATATTTATACTATTAGGACTCATTTCCTGCTGGAGCGCACAGGAGCGATGCTCCGGCAGTGACAAGCCAAGGGGGCGGGCACATGAGCCAGCCCTGCCCCTGCTCCAGCAGCCCTCAGTTGGGCCACGAGGAACCAGAAGAAGGAAGGTAAGTTGCTTGCCTACCCCATCCTCACCTTTCCTGGCCACACAGAAGCTATCCAAAACAGTCTAGTGGCACCTTTAAGACCAAGGTTTATTCAGGTACAAGCTCTCTCTCCTCTGCAAGAACAGATCTGTACATCCCCCCCCAATAGTTAGCAATCCAAAACAGTCCAGTGGAGCCTGAGCAGTGGGTGTTGCCTTCTGACACACTTCCGGTGATGTCAGGGGGTGTGGCATATGCAAATAAGTCATGCTAATGAGCTATGCTAAGGAGCTCCTGCACCTCTTTTTCTACGAAATGACCCCTGTATACTATATTGATCATACATCAGAAACTGCAATAATATAGAACACAATTTCAGTTTTAATAGTTCCACAGGAGTTCAAGGATTCACTGGGGCCCAGTGGATGAACTAATTATAGGTCCCTCTGATATTCTTCTCTACATGTAAGCCAGCTGATAACAAGCCTCATTTCACCAAAGGCTTCTTCGCAAAGGCTGTGGTCACACACACTCAATAATCCACTTTCAATGCACCTTCCAACTGGATTTTGCCAGTTACCGCAGTAAAAGTCCAATTGGAAAATGCACTGAAAGTGGATTGCAAGTTAATCATTTAGTGTGTGTGACCGCGGCCAAAAAAGATGGAGCTCATAGTTTTCTGCTCCAAAAGGAAAAATTTCACCAACATGTTGTTTCCTTGCACAAAATTGCTGCCAATCTCAAGTCAAAGTGCAAAAATTCTTGAGATTGACAAAAATGCTGAGAGATTGTGTTCTATCTTACTGGAGTTTCTGGTGTATGATTGATACAGTTTTTATATATATATATATGTGTGTGTGTGTGTGTGTGTCCGTCCGTCCTGTGGTATGTAAAACACGCCTTGTTGTATTTAATTTCATTATATGAGTATTACATTGGACTGTGTCTCCTTTATTATATTCTAATTACATTTTGACAGAATGGTTTGAGACTTGTGGTTGTTTATTGTTGAGCACAGATCATGTCCTTTGTTTTCGCACACTTTTTCTGCACTGCTGTCTGGTTTCGGCTTTGCCAACCCGAGTAGGCAATACTGACCTCGATGGACCCAGAGTCTGATATGTGTCTTCGTGTGGTTGTGATCCTTTCAACTGGAGACGCCGGGGATTGAACCTGGGACCTTCTGCATGTCAAGCAGATGCTCTGCCACTGAGTCACGGCCCCTCCCCAGACGTTCACACGCCTCAGGAGCCTGCAGCCATCCCACCCTTCCTCTGTTGCAAACTGCCCCCTGGAAGAAGGATACCCTTCTTTCTGAGTGATCAGCCACTGCTGTCCAATATCCAAGCCCCTCTCTCTCCCTCCTCCCGCAGTTGTTCAGGACCCCTGTTTATTTTGCTAAAAAAAACCCCAAACAGCTGGCAAGGAGGAAACTTCACTGGCCGCCTAGGTGAAATCCTCCCTTTCCTCCTCTCCATTTCCAGATGCAAATCACTTCCTTTTCAGGACACTTGGCGGCTGAGAAAGGGTCAAACTTGTGAAGCTCGTCCCTCCGGCGAAAACTGCTTACAGCCCTTACCCTGACGGGAGGATGTGACTCATGGGGCAGGTATTTGTCTGTCCTCCCCCCCCCCATCTGCAGTGCCTAAAGGGATTGCATAACAGAACCTCGCCTGGTTCTCAGCCCTCCTGCTTTTCAAAATCAGATGAATAACACGATGTTTCTGCACACGTCGAAGGCAATATCTTCCCAGGGAGGCACAAGATACTGACAGGGGCTGACAGGGGGTGGAGAACTTTGGAATCTATGAGAATGCCCTCGGGGGAAGGGGGAGGGAAAGGCACCCTCCTTCTCCCGTGCCCCACCCGTAGCTACAGTGGGGCATTTTGGGGCCTGCCCCCGACTTCCTGCCAAGGCCCCCTCCAACTTCCACTCAGCCCCCAGGCCCCCCAGCTCTCTGGGCCACCCGGAGGACTCCCCACCGCCGCCCCTTCCCCAAGTCTGCTCCCTTCCCCATGTAGGCAAGCAGAGTGCGAACGCCACAAAAGTGAGTTTTTAAAATGTTTATTTTTATTTCATTTTTTATTTTGTGACGTCAGTGCCCCCCGACTTATTTAAAGCTCCCCCCCCCGAATTACAAAATCCTGGCTACGGGCCTGGTTATGAGCGTTATTCTTGGATGTTGCCCTTCCGGGACCCAAAACCAACGACTGACCTTCGCAGCAGTCCTGCCACATGCGCAGATCCATTTCTGGGATTTCCTCGCAGCTGACCATGCCCTGCGGGTACGACGCCACCCGGAACACGTCTTTCTGGAGCTGCCCGATGTGGTCGCTGTTGTCGCAGATGATGCGGGCGAGGGACGTCTGCCTTATCTGCGTGAGCTGGGCCGGAGTGAACACTCCCGGGTTCTCGTACCAAAACCTTAGGGGGAATCGTAAGCTCAGATATCAGCACCTGACCCGCTAGGGGATGGCAAGTGGGGAAGGACAAGCTGAGATGGACAAATACACTAGGGGTCCATGTCTCTTTACCTATTTCCCTATGGCCTTAAGGGAGCATCTCTGATCAGGGCTAGCCCAGAGTGACAGTGGGGCTACTGGGGGCACCGCCCCCTTCCTTAAAGGGCCAGCCCCACAAGATTTTTGGGGGGAAGAAGTTTTTTTGAGAAGAATCGGGGGCGGCGTGCATGACCACCCCGCTTCTTCTCAAAAGCATGTAAAGGGATCCCTTAAATGCTTTTGAGAAGAAGGGGGTGTGTGTGTGCGTACCCCTCTCCCTCCCTCCTGCAAGATTTAAAAGGCCCTCCAGCTGATTGGTGGGCCACCTGCCCCCCCCGTCAATCAGCCAAAGGGCCCTTTAAATCCTGCAGGAGGGGAGGGAGAGGGGTGATGTTTTGGGTCCCTGTCTTTTCCAAATGACCTCAACACTCCAAGGTCACGGGCATGAGGCCCCCCGCCCCCCCCGATTTGCCTGCATGTATGGCGATGCCAGAGACTGAAGATGGGACTTCTTTTTGCATGCAAAACATACACTTCACCATTGATTAAGAAGAAGAAGAAGAGGAGGAGAAGGAGGAGATTGGATTTATACCCCGCCCTTCCCTAGCCAAGGGAGTCTCAGAGCGGACGACAATCTCCTTCCCCTTCCCCTCCCCACAACAGACACCCTGTGAGGTAGGTGGGGCTGAAAGAACTCTGACAGAAATGGCTGTTTTTCAAGAAGAGCTCTTATCAGAACTATGGCTTGCCCAAGGTCATCCAGCAGCTGCAAGTGGAGAAGTGGGGAATCAAACCCGGTTCTCCCAGATTAGAGTCAGCGCACTTAACCACTACACCAAACTGGCTGTCTTATACCTCACCGTTCACTACCCAAGGGAGTCTCAGAGCGGCTTACAAACTCCTTTCCCTTCCCCTCCCCACAACAGACGCCCTGTGAGGGAGGCGGGGCTGAGAGAGCTCTGACAGAAACGGCTCTTTTTCAAGAACAGCTCTTATCAGAACTACAGCTTGCCCAAGGTCATCCAGCAGGTGCAAGTGGAGAAGTGGGGAATCAAACCCGGTTCTCCCAGATTAGAGTCCGTGCACTTAACCACTACACCAAACTGGCTCTCCTTATGCCCCTCTTTTCTGAAATGTATCTGTCACTAAGGAATCTGTGAGACGGAGATCACTTTTGAGGTCCTCCTAATTAAAAAAAAAACACCAAATACTTTGGATGGAACGAAAAAAAGGTATTGTTTCTGAGTCCGTATTCTGAGTACCTGTCTCCATCCCGGAGTCTTCTAAACTGAGTTGCAAATAAGCACATCAATGTGGGTCCGACCCTGGTACCGGGGACCAGATCTTCTACCATCAGTGCAGGAAACAAGTCGATATTCTTAGTGATTCCATATAAACTGCAGACAAGGGGGGAAAGAGAAATCAAAAAGAGTGATATTTCCTTGGTTCAGTCTATTCGATGGTGTATCTGCAATATAGGACTCAAAATCAATTTCCTCCCCAACCAACTGTAGCTTTGTGAAGGTCAGGGGTAATTTCGTAGAAAAAGAGGTGCAGGAGCTCATTAGCATAACTCATTAGCATATGCCACACCCCCTGACCTCACCGGAAGTGTGTCAGAAGGCAACACCCACCACTCAGGCTCCACTGGACTGTTTTGGATTGCTAGCTATTGGGAGGGGGGGATGTGCAGATCTGCCCTAACAGAGGAGGGAGAGCTTGTACCTGAAGACAGGCCAGGGGGGGCTCTGCAATTTACCTGGCTGCTTCTTGCTCCTTGTGGCCCGACTGAGGGCTGCTGGGAGCAGGGGGGGGGGCTTGTTGCATATGCCCGCCCCCTGGGCTCCTTACTGCCGGAGCTCTGCTCCTGTGCGCTCCTGCAGGAAATGACCCCTGGTGAAGGTTATAAGGAATCTTGCCCTGACCTGGATGACCCAGCCTATGCTGATCTCGTCAAGATCTTGGAAGCTAGTATGTGGACGGGCGACCTTCAAGGAATACCAGGGTTGTGATGTGGAGGGAAGCAATGGCAAACCACCTCTTGCTTTGAAAACCCCTATGGGATTGCTATAGATCGGCTGTGACTTGATGGCAAATAGTAAAAGGAACATAATAATTATAATTAATTATCGTATGGCATTGTATGTAGGATAGGCAGGAGAGCCTAAGAATGTCTGGCAACCACAAGTTCTAGCTCTTTTTTCTTAGCATTATGCACCACTAGTTGGCGAGCTAAACTTGTTTTTAAGGCAAGAGACGTTTCAGAGGTGGTTTGCCATTGCCTGCCTCTGCGTCATGGCCCTGGTATTCCTTGGAGGTCGCCCTTCCAAATACTAGCCAAGGCCGACTCGACTTAGCTTCCGAGATCTGACGAGATCGGGCTAGCCTGGGCTATCCAGGTCAGGGCTAAGAAGAACATAAGAACATAGGAGAAGGCATGTTGGATCAGGCCAATGGCTCATCCAGTCCAACCCTCTGTGTCACACAGTGGCCAAAACCCAGGTGCCATCAGGAGGTCCACCAGTGTGGCCAGATAATAATAATAAAGGATCTCAAACCACATTGCCCAGGATTGTTTAGTGAAAGTCATGACCGCTGACAGAGGCATAAAATTGGCACATGGGGGTCCTTGGCACATTCTTCAAGGTACGTACAAGTTGGTCCATTGGGAAAGGACTGCCACCTTGATATGGAAGAAGGAAGTGGGGGGATGTGAATAATGCAGTCTCATTGTATGCTGGATTACACTTCTATTGCAGGAGGCAATAAGCAAAGGCAATGGAAACAGAGACACGGAGAGCAGCACCGTGATTTCCCCCTCTTCCTACTGCAAGAGATCTACAAAGGTCATACATAAGGAATATACTTTAAAATGTTTAAAATGATTAAAAGGACCATCTTCTCCAGCTCCTGACTGCCAACCTCAAGACCTGCTTCTGTGGGCCTGCCTGTGAAGTGAGGCAGGTGACGACCAGATGCGTGGCCTTCTTAGTGGTGGCACCCTCTCTGTGTAATGCCCTGCCACTTGAAGCTCGCCCGGCATCTACTTTCTTAGCATTTAGGCACTAGGCTTTTAAATTAATCTTTTAAATCCCATTGTGCTGATTTTGGGCTTATTTTACTGCCTGACAGTACTTTTATTGCCTGCTTTTACATTTATGATTGTTTCTAGAAGAGGAGAAGAAGAAGAGAAGAAGAAGAGATTGGATTTATACCCCGCCCTTCACTTGGAGTCTCAGAGCGGCTTACAAACTCCTTTCCCTCCCCCTCCCCACAACAGACACCCTGTGAGGTGGGTGGAGCTGAGAGAGCTCTGACATAAACTGCTCTTTTTCAAGGACAGCTGTGCCAGAGCTTGTGACTGACCCAAGGTCACATCAGCAGGTGCAAGTGGAGGAGTGGGGAATCAAACCCGGTTCTCCCAGATTAGAGTCCGCACACTTAACCACGACAC